CGTTCTTGACAATGGGAGCAAGTATATTTACTTGAGCAGTCTTTTATCAAATGGGTCTGACATAGGCAATTAAAACAGAGGTTGTGTTCTCTCACAAACTTTCTGCGCTCCTGAGTTGGCAGGTGACGAAATTTGGAGCACTGAGAGAGAGTGTGTTGAGGTTTATTACACATTGGGCATTTGTAAGGTTTTGTGCGTTGTTCCGTCATGTGCGCTCGGATTTGGGAAAAGGAGTTGTTTTGAGAGTTCTGAGGAATGGGGGGTTTAGGGAATGGCCTACTGTTAGGGGGGGTTGGCCTCGAGTAGCTCATATTCGAAGGATTAGTCCGCGGAGGTTTGGGTGCACGAAATTGATCTACTCTTTCAACCACCTCGTATCGAGTAGTGAGGAACTGGTTAATTTGGGATCAATTCGGGAGGTCTTTCCTGGAACTGAGGGATTGCTCCCATAGGGTCACGGTGTTCTCAGGAAGCTTGGAGGTAACCAGGTAGATAAGAATGGGATCCCAGCTTTCGGTGGAGACTTGCTGGGTGCCTAGAATCTGGAGACAGTTGTTCACCGATGATTGCAGTCTCTGTATGTCTTCGCTATTTTCTATTGGGATGGGTTTTAGGTTCATAAGAGTGCGGATTTGGTTATCTAGTAGAACCCGTTTGTTTTCATAGCGAGCCTTTAGTGCTTCCCATGCCAGCTCGAAATTATCGTCACTCAGAGGGAATTGTTTAACTATTTGGGCAGCTTTTCCTTGCGTTTTGTACCTGAGATGGTACAACTTCTGCGCCTTAGTGAGCTTAGGGTGATTTATATAGACCGCCGTGAACATATCACGGAAGGACGGCCATTGCTCATAACCCCCATAAAAGGTTTCGGTGTCGCAAGGTGGGACGTTTAAGCTTATGCCTGAAGTTTCCTGAGGAAGTGATGTACTGGCTTTGGGAGTGGGACTTGTGGTTTGTGCTACTAACTGGAGTTGGTCTCCGATTTGGGCTTTTGTTTCTTCATATACATATAATCAAACATGACCCTTTATTTACTGTAGGCAGACGCTCTAAAGTCTTCGGGGAGGTCATGTTCTTCAATTTCCAAAGTCGAATCAAAGGCGTTTTGAACTCTATTCCAAAAGTTTTCTAGGCTCTTGTCTTTTATTTTCAGTACAGACTCAGTATTTTCTTCGATCGGGGCTGATCTGAATCGGGCGCAGTAATCCATCAAATTATCTGTCTCCGATATGAATTTAGTACATATGACCGATTGTTTTGCCTTTTTNATCTTTTATTTTCAGTACAGACTCAGACAGACTTTTCTTCGATCGGGGCTGATCTGAATCGGGCGCAGTAATCCATCAAATTATCTGTCTCCGATATGAATTTAGTACATATGACCGATTGTTTTGCCTTTTTTGGCTTTCCGCTTGTACGCGTAGAGCGCTGAGATTCCGCGGGGGTCTCGAGAATTTTTTCTTCTTCGCTCATTCTGGGACTTTTTGGCTTATCTTGAGTGCTAGTGAGACCTAGCATTCGAAGTCGAATGAGCGGACCTAATTAAGGTTGGGATGTGGGGGTGATCAAATACAATCGGGGCTTTACTGTGCGGTCGCAAATAATACGGTTTGAATTAATCACAGGGGAGCGCCTGGAAANTGAACGCCTGGAAACTAAGGGAGTGTGGGAAAACTAATAAGTGGGAAAATTCTAATTTTTTTTTTTTTTTTTAAGCCTTTATGAGGGATTTCGGATCACCGTGTTGAGAATTTTCACGCTTGACCCTGTTCACGCAAACCACAAATGGAGATAATTTGAGCGCAAAATGTATGATTACCTATCTAATGGACTGTATTTTATCTTTTCGAGCACTGTAACTGCCTTGCCTTTTTTATGGGTATTTGTTGTAGGGAGTTCACTGTACGTTATTTTATTTACTTTGTACCGCACTTTCTTTTATATGCCCAATACGTAGTTGGGTATGTGTATGAATGTATGTGTATATATATATATATATAGGGATTACTAAACGAGGGGTTAGTTATGTATTCCCAGCTATAATTCCTTGTATGTTTGTTTGGGATTAACTGATTAGCCGCTGTATATACTATGAGCTTTGGTATATGTGTATATATATATGTACGCCAAGTACTATTTGCTTGTATGCTACAGAATGTTATGTGAAGTACATATGTATATGTATTCTTGCAAAAGTCTTTGTGTGGGTAAAAAATTCGTGAAAATTGGCGCAAAAAAGGTAAAATTGGCGGGAAAAATGAAAATATGGCGGGAAAATTGAAAATTTATGGCCCGAGCAAGGGAAAATGTATGACTTAATGCTGGCGCTTACTAACCATACAAGGAATTATTTTCTGCCTTTTTTAATATCTTTGTTTCACCGCAGGGTTAGTAAAAAATTGATTTTTACTCACGGTTTTGCTGGGGATACTTGNGTATTCTTGCAAAAGTCTTTGTGTGGGTAAAAAATTCGTGAAAATTGGCGCAAAAAAGGTAAAATTGGCGGGAAAAATGAAAATATGGCGGGAAAATTGAAAATTTATGGCCGGAGCAAGGGAAAATGTATTACTTAATGCTGGCGTTTACTAAACATACAAGAAGTTATTTTCTGCCTTTTTAAAATCTTTGTTTCACAGCAGGGTTAGTAAAAAATTGATTTTTACTCACGGTTTTGCTGGGGATACTTGGTTTTGGGGTTATGGTATTCCACCGGTGCGGCTCTCTGTTGGCGCCGAAGGACCAATATTAAGGGGGGCTCTACTCCTCTTTAGGGTGCTGCGATTCGGGCGTGGAGTGGCGGAGATGGCGTTGCGGTTGAAGGTCGGCGAAGGTTGCGGCGGTGGTGGCTGGATGGTTCGCTGCTACTAGGGTGACGGTGACTGCCTTCTGGCGGCGATGCGGTATTCCCGCGGCGGGGATGCTGGTTTGGCGAGGATGGGGCTGTTGTGCTCCCGTGGGATGAAATGTGACACCGAAGACAGGTTTCGGCGGCTTCCTTGCGCAAACTCACTTGACTTTCAAAACGAGGGGAGTGGACTTGCGCGCTTACCGACACGGATTTGGCGACTGACCAATATTGTGACTCGAAATAAAAACCACAGAACTTGAACTTTAGGGTACAATTTCGTTTATTCAAATAAAATTGAGGACGGTGCTTTGATTAACGAAAAGGTATTCTGGGTTGCGACCGCACACGTAAAACTTTAAAAATTTATGTATGTATAATAATTCTTTGTTGACATTTGTCAACCTATATGTCAGCTGCGCGCGCTGCATTACCAACGCGCGTTGCCAACCACTCAAATTCAATGCAAACTACTTATAAAACTTTTACAATGCAAGTTAGGGTATTCACTAAATACGTTTTACAAGTTGGATAATTGAAGATACTAATAGGTAAATATAAATATGCAAGTTATCAATTTAAACAATTCAATGTCATACATAGTGCACTTTTGCGTTGTGCCAAATTACAATTTTAAGGAATTCAATTTTGTGAAAGGTGCATTCTTGCGTTGTGTTAAACGGTATTCTTAACTCGTTTAACTAGCAACATTTGCCTGTATTTTGTCGTTGCTTCTGGTATCGAAGGTGCTAAAAACTGTTCTGATTTTTGTCTTCTACATCAAAGCGTGCCATGCGAAATACGAAAAAGGTAAGAAATTTAAATTGAAAAAATGAAAATTGTTGCAACTTTCTTTCTTAGTAAATTGGTTCGCTTCTCGAAGCATTGATCCATCCTGTGCCAGGCCCAGTAATCAGCGGTTGTGCTGCTGAGTTGGGCGAGCTTTCCAAAAGCTGCTATTTAATCGCTGGTTTTGTATGGAAAATGTTTCACATGCAAATCAATTTTAATAATTTAGAATTTTTGTGAGAAGAAATGTAAAATATTTGACATTTTCGAGAACAAATAATTTGAAAAAAATCAAATCAGATGCTATACTGATCAGTGTTGCCAACTCGTGGGATTTCGCCCATAATTTGGGATTTTCGCACCATAAAAGGGCGCGTGGAATTTTGCGTCTCATTATGGGATTTTTAGCTAAATATAATTTATGGTTCTATTAATTTTTTTTATTTGCCGTTAATTTCAACGTGACGGGTGGGACATTTAAACTTTTTTTACCTCAAACTTTAAGTAATTTCTTTTTAACACTTGATTCGTAATTTCAAACTGTTAACATCTGAATTCAAATACCAGTTTAACACGAAACCAATAAAGTATAAAACTTAGTTATGTGAATTACACAGAAAATTTACATTTCCCCAAGAGTGACGGCTGAGACATTGACGACACCCACCTCTCTGAGTGGATGGATTCGTTTTCCATTTTAGACAAACTTTATATCAAAATATTTCTTNACGCTTGTGACGGGGGGGGCGATATTTTGTGACTGGGGGATCGAGTCACTATTGAATACACATANGGGTGGGGCGATATTTTGTGACTGGTGGATCGAGTCACTATTGAATACACATAGGATTTTTGCACTTTTCCCCATAAAACGAGGAATTGCATATTAAAGCCGTTTGAAACTTACACTTCATTGCAGTAAATTTGTTGGGGCTATAGAACTGTATACCTAAATATGTTTTAAAGATTTACACCCAAATTTATCAAAAATAAAGAACATTTTAACTGCTCTATAAATCGAAAATTTTTATGAAAATGTCACTCTGTAAAGCTCTTTAAACTTATTTTATTTTTTATGAGTAAGGCCATTAGATTAAAAAATACTGAATTTTTTACGAAAATTCGTTGAGTTTTCCTATATTTTATATAAAGTGTGAATCTGTGATATGATTTTGGTTAAACCTCGGACGGTATTTTTATAGAAAAATACCAAAAAAAATTATCACGATAAACCTTACGAATATTATAAAAAAATCAACACGTGGTCATTTGTTTGAGTCACTGTACCTTGTTAAAATCTTGGGGATTTTCGATTCTTAAAATGGGATAAACAGGGCGTTTTTCAAAGGAGAATGGGATTTTGGTACCTTTGGAGTTGGCAACACTGATACTGATATTACCTGTTCAATGTGCCTTGGTTTAATTGTATTTTTATAGTAAACAAAGTTCTTTTTCCTTATGTCAGTAAACTATTTTTTTTTTTACAACGTTTGTTGGAAATAAAGCAAAACTCAGATTTTGGTATTATTTCCCATTTAAAAGTGAAATAAAGCAAATTTTGCATTATTGCCGATTGTGTTATTTTTTAGAATACCTTCGAAATTTGATTCGAACGAACTATGGAGTACGAATGGGGCTTCAATTCGAATTTTGCTTTCGAATAGAACAACCTTTCGACTCGAACTACAGAGTAAGGGCCCAGATACATCAATAAACACGTACAAATACGTTTATAAAGACCCTGCAGCGGAGTCGGTGACAATTGTCTCTTTCGTCTTCTAGTTACATTACTAGTTCCAATAGCATTTTATGCTCTAGGTAGTAAGAAATCGAGCTATTGGTTACATATTGCACCTTGCACCAAGGTTATTGGTCGTTTTAATACGATAATGCTCCCTTATTACATAAAGGAATTTGTTATTTATCATTTAAATACAAATAATAAATTTGGAATACTTATCCATGTTCTGTTGCTCTCGTGTGACCACCACGCAAATATCGGACTGAAAAGTACCAAAATAAAGCAATACACAGATACTCCTTTTCTACATAACTACTACTTTTTTAATTATTTTTTGTTTCTTCTCAAATATGTTTATATATATGGGGCCTTTCACTTCAAATGTCCCCAGCGTGCTTACTTTTCGACTAGCTGGGAAGCAGACAGAAAATGGAAAAATTATTCGAAAATTATGATTTCTATAGATTTTTGTGCAGGCTATACGATGGTAGTATGCGTTTTCCAAAATTTTCCCACTTTCATGGTGAAAATTCTGAACGAAAATTTATGTGTCGATTACGGATAGCAACGCAACCACGGTTTGGTTGCCAGCTGGCAACGTACCCGGAGGGAAAATTTTTATTACGGATGGCAGCTATCGTCAGTTGCTGCTGAGTTATCGATAATCGAAATTTGACAGTTCCACAATCGGCAAGTGGTTGTAAACAAGCTGTGCTAGTAAAATAAAATTATTAAAATAAAGTCTTTTAAATAAAAGTCAGCAATAATGCTAAGTTCAGTTCAATTATTTGTTTGAGAGGGGGAGAAGTGCACGAACGCGGCCTCAATCGGGCGACATTTAAAAGATAATTCCAATCCTATAAGAGCTACCACCCGTACTGTAAGTAAATGTTAATGCTTTCAAGGTTTTTCTTTTATCTTTCTGTGTTCTCATTCAAAGCATATTTCAAACATTCAAAAGAAGCTGTAGTATATTTGGTTAATACACAGAGAAAGGACTTCGTTCAACTTCAATACCTACGCTTCAAAAAGCTTGCGCACCTCTTCAATTTTTATCAGACGGAAGTCCCACAAAAATCACTTCAGTTTAGGAAATTCGGTATGTCGGTAGTTTTAAAAGAGGCACTTGAGTTGATAGAGACAAAAAATTTGCAGTCGGTTCACTTTTGATTCACCAAAAGCACGTTCATCACGAGAAATTAAATTTCAAATTGTTGTTTTGTTGTAATTTTCACGATATTCTGTAAAAGCAAAATACATAGCAAAATGTTAATATCGTTTAAACCATTAAACACTACAATATTTCGGTTTTAAATTCTTGCTCCTAAATAGGCCCAAAACTTTCCCAGCAACCACAAAAATGTAGTTACACACTTTGTGGCAACTGCAGTTGCCAGTTGAGAGTTGCCGGTTGTCATCTGTAATATCGTTTCGGCAAATAGCAACGCAACTGAAGTTCGGTTGCTATCGATAAGCGACCCATTATTTGTAATTTTTCTTAATTATGGTCATGTTTAATATATATTTTTACATAGAAATCATTAATAAAAAGGCTACTTTTTTTTACTTTTCTGAGTTATAAAGCCTTTTAGAGCGCGCTAATCTGCTAACCGTGCGAGTCATAATAGCATTGTTATAACTTTGCAACTACTTGATGTTTAGTCATCTACAATATTGTTTTAAAACAAAAAATTATTTTCAAACTTTGTAACACAACTTTTGCATTTGAAAACAAACAACCTCTTAATTCTCATAAAAAAGTTATAAACGTGTAGTTTTGTTTGTACTTAATATTAAGAAGTGGTGTTAAACTTAAATTCTTTGGAAGAGCTTGAGGTTTATTGTGTGAAAATTTTAAATCGATCGTTATACAAACGACTGATAGTGAGTTTAAATGAAAATTTTGTTAAAATTACACTGATTTACAGCAAAAATGTTCAATGGATGCCCCTATACAATTTCGCTGTAGAATTGCTCGCTGATTCCGAAAATCTAGTTAATTTTTTATTCTACGGATAAGTTTATGGGATATTTTCAATTTACCGTTATTCAGCTTAAAACAAAAATTGGTACCAATTAATCAGGTATATCTTACGAACCAAATTAATAATCTTAATATGAAATACGGCACATGAAAGCTAATAAAATTCTACATAAACCGCAATTTCCGATAGGACTTACCTTCTACTTTATTGGCGCTATAACCGCCTAAGCGATTTTGGTCGAGTCCAAAACAGCACGCCAGTCATTTCTCTTCTGTGCTGACGCCAATTGGAAATGCCAAGGGAAGCCAAGTCTTTCTTCACCTGGTCTTTCCAACGCAGAGGAGGCCTTCCTCTTCCTCTGTTACCAGCATCGCGGCCCGCATTTATTGCTTTCAGAGCAGGAGCGTTTCTGTCCATTTGAACGACATGGCCAAGCCAGCGGAGCCGCTGAATTTTAATTCGCTGCACTATGTCTATATGTATTTTTAGTAAAGCTCACACAGCTCATCGGTAAATCATCTGCGGTATTTGCCATCCCCAACACGTAAAGGTCCGTAAATCTTTCGCAGAATCTTTCTCTCGAAAACT